ACCGGTTCAATGTGGGGTATCATAAGGCCAACTGGTCCTTGTCTTGGGGGCTAAATTTGCCACCCAAGTGAGGGGCGACGGGTCCTCTTAGTTACCTACCACTATTTTATATGTGCTTTCTTGTTCTAGGTTTAGTTTTTGTTGAGTTTCTGTCCAAGCTAGTCGCCAGTGACACTCTTTTCTGTCTAGGGTTGTATCTGAAGGCGAGAACGTGCTCTGACTGTAAGTGTTCATGGTGGTGATCTTCTCCAAGGGTTCGAGAGATGCTTCGACTGTAACTTGCTCTCGCATGGATGGTTATTCTTCCATACTTTCTGACTTGATCGTTGCCATCCTCTCGACATTTCCACCTTGTTTCATTGCTGCAAACCCCCTGTTCTAGCGCTTGCTGTCGCGCTACTCCCATCCCTATCCACAATTACTACTGCCAGCCTTTTCCTCAGGCTGTATCCTCTGTCCTGCACCCTTCTACTCCATGCTTTCAGTCGTCAGCCCTGAAACTCTTACCTACAGTTACCGCAAACTCAACTGCATCCTTCCTTGCTGGTTGCAAGTGCCTCGCGGCTTGCATGTTGTGCCTTCACGCCCCCCTTCTCCTCCTGTTCGTCCTATTGTGCCTCACTCCCTCTACGGCCCACCTACTATGGTCGCAATCTCTTACCCAGCCCAACCGACAACTTCAGCGGCCCTACCCACCTCTCCAACTCGTCCACGACAACTGCCATCCCATCCCAATTCCCTGACAACCATCATAACCATTCCTCTGCCTTCTCCTTGTTGCCAAAACCATCTTCCAACCACCCTGCTGTCACTACCATCTCTTACCTCCATGCCTACCTGCTGACTAGCTGCCACCCAACCCGTTCGTCATCGCCCTATGGTGTCTTGTTAGGTTTGCTATCATTTATTTCTTGTTTTAAAGTGTCTTATTTGTAACATATTTGAATTTCAGTATTAATGTTATATATTTTTTTGTGGTTTGGGTTAACTCCAGTATCTGTTGATGTCTTGAATCTTAATGGTTTCAAAATGCCGACTAAATTATATATTTCTGCAGAGTTATAGCTAATCGGCAATCTGCAGCTCGTTCAAAAGAAAGGAAAGCACGCCATGTATCTGAACTTGAGAGAAAACTTCGGGCACTTCAAACTGAAGCTACAACGCTTTCTGCCCAGCTTATGCTTTTTCAGGTCCGTCTTTTATGGTTTCTACGTAGAAAGCAAACACAGTTCGGTTGTTTATTTTCCTCCTTTTAAGCTGATAAAATCAAGCAGCTAATACATTTGTCAGGTAGCTAATATTGGTAAAAGGAATTGATATTCATTGCTTTCATTGCAATTGCGACTGAAAAATGGAATTTTAAAAATCTTTTGGTGCCTAGATGAAAGGAAAATATCTATTCACTAAATTTAAACTGCCTTCCCCTCTGCTCCTCATTTTTACCTAACAGCAATTCATTCATTTATTTAGTTTTGAGTGTCCCGAAGTGTCTTCTCTTGTATTTCTAGAATCTTTGCTTTTGATAGGTGATTGTTTCATTGTTTCCACTGTTTATGCTATGGTTTTTTCTATTTGTGTAGGACATCAAAATGAATTTCCCACTTTCATGCATAAACTATACGCCTATAAACCAATTATCTCTTCTCCAAGTTAATTTGCTTATTTATCTACTTTTAACTTTCTTGGAGAAGTTTGGCTATTTTACTTGCCGATGAGAAAGGGGAAAGAGATAAGCCGGGTATCTTCCAACTTAGTCCCATAATGGATTCTGTTTGAGTGAATTGCTCATTTTCAAACTCAAATATATTTCGAGTTTGCCTCAACTCAAGATTACTCTTTGAATTAGAAGTTCAACTAAACATGCTAAAAAATTAGTTGGCGCAAGTGTGAGAAAACAGGAATGAGGCTATGAGATGGCTTAGGAGATCTGAAGTTAGGTTCCTTCAATCCTTAACCAGCAAATCCTACTAACATTTGCTTTGAAACCTGCAACTTTGCATTCAACTTAAAAAAGAAATACAACGGATGCAGCTATGCATGTACATAAATAGAGTTATCATACTCATGCACATTTTCGTTAAAAAACTACCCAGTAACTTGCCGAAAAATCACTTCCTTGGATTGTGTGAGAAAGCCAAACTCCGAGCATTCTTGAGGCCTTCTCCTTCTAAGCATCTCTTGCATCTCTTGCATGATTTGCCTGAGGAAGGTGATAATAATTATATTATCTCCTTCAATCACGATGACTTAACCTCTAGCATCCATGGCTCAATATCTCTTATTGAGAGGATGACTTTGAGTTTAGACTCGGCATTGCCCCAACTTCAACATCTTGCTAACATTAGCCATGAAACCGTAGCTTACAGTTTTGGTCTGCAAGCATATGATGGAAAAATCATTGTCCATTTTTCTTAATGCTCCTCGGAATCAGTTTCAAGATGTCAGTCTTAAGTGAATCATGATGGTAGCTAAGTGATATGCAATAACTGCTGTGAAATATACGGCAGCAATATTTTTATATGGAGAAACCGCTTGCACTTTGTATCTTTAAATCTGGATCTTTCCTGTATGCTGAGAGTTTGATCTTCATGACTCCTAAATAACTAACTCTGTCTAATGTGCACCTGCTGTCTTCTCTACGTTTGTATTTTATATATTACCTTGTATCAATGTGTATTAGGTAGGTGAAAACATTAAAACCATCTGTTTCCACTCTTCCTTTTCTTGTTCAAAGTATTTGCTGTAGGTTCTATGTACTCACATTTTAGAATTTCTTCAACATGGCATCTGAGCTATAAAGCCTCATGGCATTCCTTCTCTTTATCTCGTATCAATATAACTGACTTTATGCACTTGCAGGACTTTTCTACAGCAGGCTCTTACTGTTCTTTGTCAAGTGAAACTCATATTCCTTCTCAGTGAAGTTTATTGTATCAACTATAAAGAGTGTTATCAATTTTCAACTTACAACTAAAATTCATTCTTAGGCTGGTTTGTAGGATATTTTGATGAAACCTCGCCCAAATCCTCTCGCCACATCATAAAAAATTCTGATAGAAGTTCCACATTTCAACACGTGGATGCTTATTCCACCATTTCTCCATCACTTTTAACTCATATTCTTAATCTTGATTCTTGTGTCGATATTTAGACAATATAGATCATCAATTGCATTGTATCAATCACGAATCATCCAATTAAAGAACAAACTTCCATCATATACTATGAAAGAAAATCAATGGTGCAATATCTTTCTAACATAGACACCAAAGGCAATGCCATAGCAACTCTTGGATCTCCTCTTTGTCTAGAAGATATTATTTTTTACACTCTAAATAGGTTGCCCATGACATATCAGCTTTTAAGACTACCATTAAAATCAACTTTTAACCCATCAAATTAAATTATTTCTACTCACTGCCATGCAATGAAGAAATAAATCTTGCCACTGAAAGCAACTTGAGAATTGCCCTTTCATACAACTTATCTCTCGTTAGTCGCTACTCAAAAATATGGATACCTTCGCAACTTTCTTGTAGCTCATCCCCAGGACATCAAAATTCCGCTCGAGGATGCTATCCAATCCTTCAAAATTGTGGTCAAATGAGTCATTCTGTTCTGAAATGTTGGCATCTCATTGATCACTCATTTCAACCCAATCCAAATGGCTTGATTGATGGCCACTCACATTCAACAGTGGATTGGGTTCTAGGCTCTAGAGTTACATCTCACTTGACTTCAAATGCACATAAACTTCTGCAAGATATGCCCTATGCTAGATCGCAACTAATTTTACTTGGAAATACTGATATGGCTCCTATTGCTTGTACTGGATAAAAAAAATTTGCAAACTCCTACTCATAAGCTTCACATTTACATGTTTCACATCTTTTTCGGCATCCATTAGCTCATGATAACTATTGCTCCATTTTTTTTATGTTTTTGGTTATGTCATTATGGAGTCAAAGAGCAATTAAATTCTCCTCTAAGCTGTGTGATCAATGGCTATATCCAATTAATTTCTTTGGCACCTCAAGCTCCAATTTATTGATGATTATTTTTTATTTTATTGGATCTTTCTTATGAAATTGAAATCTGAAGATAATTTCAAATTTAAAACTTCAATTGAAAATCAATTTCATTAATAGATTAAAATTCTTGGATTTGATTGAGGTGGAGAATTCACCAATTCTTCCTTTGAACAAACACTCAAAAGCTTTTTGCGTCTCATAAAATTACTTGTCCCTATACACCAAAACAAAATGGTGTTGTTGAACAAGAATATAGACAAATGATTGAAAAAATGCGAACTCTCATTCTTAAGGCCAATTTAACTCATTCATTGTGGGAAGATACTTTTCTTACTGCCAAATATCTCATTAATCAGTTGCCATCACCTATTACCAATAATATTTCTCTATATCTTCTATATAACAAAACCCTTCCTACATACATTTAAAATTCTTTGGGTATATTTGCTATTCTTGGTTCCTTTCATATGCCACAAATAAATTTGCTAGCAAATTTGTTGTTGTATCTTTCTTGGATAGGCTACAACACTTAAAATATACAAATGTTTCAATCCCACCAATCGCAAATTATACATTTCTCAACTTGTTATCTTTCATGAAAATTTCTTCCTGTGTATTAGTTCTTCCCCTACACTTCAACCATCATCATCTTCACCAGATACACGTCCCCTTGCACTCATTCTCACTTCCTCCAAAAATTTCTCTTCATTTTCGTTGCCACGAAGGAACAACTCTTTACTATAATTTTCATTCACATCATTTGTTGCTTTACATTCAATTCAGGTCATATCACTCCTAATATATCATGTATCCCTTCTCAATTATCTAAGCCAAACTCTTCATCACCTCTATCTATTTCGTTGGTACCTAAACTTCTACCAGAACATCCAATTGATTACTTGTTCTCAAACATGTCACCTAAAACCAAAAATTACTCTACATCTGCAACACTTTCTCACCAATGCAACTAATCTCACAACTTTCAATCAATATGTCAAATATGAGAAATAGAGGCAAGCTATATCCAAGGAATTTCAGTCTTTATAAAATCAGGGAACTTGGCAATTAGTTTCCATTCTGCACATCAAAACATTTTGGGTCGTAAATGGATAAACAAAATTAAATGCAAATTTGAGGGATCCATAGCTATATAAAACACTATCGGTAGCTCAAGGATACAAATAAGAACAAGGTATTGATCATACCTGTATCTTTAGTCTGGTTGCTAAGCTATCATAGTTCAAGTTTTTTATAGTAGCAATAACCAATAATTAGCCTATAGTTTAATTTTATATGTCCAATGCATTCCTTCATGGAACACTTGGTGTTGTTATTTGTATGGAATGGCCAGCAGGTTTCCAAGATGCACTACACCCAATCAAGTTTGTCTTCTTAAGAAGGCTATTATGGGCTTAAACCAGCTCCTCAGCAGTGGTTTGCTAGTTTAACAACATTTTTGCAATAGCTCAGTTTCCAAACCATTGTATTTGATCCTTCTTTCATTATCTCTCATAAGGATGATATTGCTCTTTATATACTTTCCTATGTGGATGACATATTGCTCATTGTCAATAACAACGAAGTAGTTTGTTGCGAATTGGATTTTATTTAGGGTCCTGTTGGTAAATAGGGAATATTGAAGAAGTGTAGGGGTTTATTTGTAAAACATTGTAATACCTTATTGAAGCCCATTTATGAATGTACAATGCAGGTTTTGAACAATTCTTTCTTGATGGTATTAGAGCCCTAATTCTTGGCAGTCGTCGTTGGTGCTGCTCGTTTGCCAGGATCAGCATGCAAAGACCTGGAACTTCGAATTTTCTCATCCTTCCGTTTCGTCGTTGCAACCCAGCCGCGAAGAGAGGTATCTGGGGTGGCAACGAGGGGATCATGGCATTACCGTCGCGACTAGAGCTAATTGGGACGACAAGAAGGGGATCATGCTGTCCCTCGTGATAGAGTCGCACCAGGTAGGGTCTGAACCTACGACTTTCTGCTTAGCAAAAAGGCACGATAGCTGAGGAAGGAGATGTGAAGGTGAGTGCAAAGCATGGGACGCTTTGATAGACCATTCCAGTCATTAGTAGAAGTGCCTGCGGGCTCTAGTGGGGATGGTACGCGAGGGAGGATAAGGGTTCATGCTAATTGTGCATGGACAT